GTATGTGTATATATGTATATATGTATATATGTATATATGTATATATATGAATGAGGAAAACACTCTACCGTGTTGATACTTTGGTAGAAAAACCCAGAAAAACTCATTTTCATTTTCAATAAATCTAGTTTTTACATTGTGGGTTTTTCTACCATGTATGTATATATATGTATATATATATATATATATATATATATATATATATATATATATATATATATATATATATATATATATATATTTTTTTTTTTTTTTTACACACACACACACACACACACACACACACACACACACACACACACACACACACACACACACACACACACACACACACACACACACACATATATACATATATACATATATACATATACATATACATATATATATATACATATCACCATGGACTTCTCTCCCTCTCTACTTTCATTTCTTTGCCATCACAGGTTATTTCAAATATTACCTGGTGTCATTTTTTTTATCATTAGATTTTCTTGTAAATGGATACAATAGTGTAAGGTGTTCCACAACTTTCTTATTATCAGCTTGTGAAGAAAATACCATAGATGAAAGTATTAAGTAATTTACATGTATCGTACTGTTCTGGTAAAACTGGAAGTATACCGCATATGGCACCAGGTCCCAAAATGATGAAGCAGAATATATATATATATATATATATATATATATATATATATATATATATATATATATATATATTTTATATATATATTGCAGATAGATAGATAGATAGATGGATAGATAGATTGATAGACAGATAGATAGATATGTGCGTCACTCCAGGTGTGAAACCAGTACTAAACCAGTCATACCACATGACCCGATGAAGGGAGTGTGTAACTAAGATCCAACTAGCTCCATAGACATTACCTATCTACTCATACATAAGTAATGATAGTGAGGTTTTACACGCACTCCACGAGAGCACTCGGTGGAAACTGATTTAGAAATTTGAAACCAGAATCAGATGAACCGAGGTACATATAAGAAAGACAGAATAAAGCAATGCTACACTGATATTGACATATACCAACCCTCCCTAACTGGGTCTCTCATCCCTCTTAGCAACAAATACTAAACTAAACACTCGCAAATACTCAATTGAAGCTGATATGATGTAAGGAAGATCACAAGGCTGCTAAATGACTATGGATGACTATGGTGACTGATCACTCAACACTAGGCCCCGGCGGCTCGCGGTTGACGAGGTTGCAGCAAAAAAGGGTAAATTTCCAGTTTCATCCAGCCTCCGACTTTCGAAACCATTTTTGGGGGGATGTATGTAGAAGAAGCCTCCGAGCTAGTACAGTGGTAACGTGTCGGCCTCTCATCCGAGGGGTCGGGGGTTCGCGCTCCGCCCAGGCGCGAGAAGTTGCAATTGTCGCCTGGAGGTTACTACTGTGGCTGGGCACCATGGTGGGTAAGGACTAAGCTCATCCGAGTCAGCACCTGCTGACACACTGTTAGCGAGTCGACATTAGTCGGCACAGGCCAGGCTCCCCCATAGCCCCCGTGAGGCTTAGCTTCGCATATCGGACTTATGCAGAAGATAAGTTTCTTAGATTTATTTGCTCTATCGTTTGCATATAATATTTTCTATATAAAAGACGGCTGGATGGAACTGAACCTATACCCAAGAAAGAACATACAATTTGTATATTTAAGAAATGGTGACAAGGACTCAAAATCTGCCAGCAAATGGCACACAGCACGATGCATGGTCTTTCACAACGTTAAATGGCCCTAAAGGAATTATTATTTTCTTACAACTTTCTTGTCATAAGTTTACCGTAAATCCTACGTACCTTTCTATGTTATGGCCTGATTTTAAGATTTTCCCTTGAATACGACGGCGGAGTTGAAAATAGTAGGCGAACTGAGTGCTAGTCAGAAGCCCGAAAAGTTTCCGTGTCGTCTGACTGGCCCGCGCGGTGTTTACACGACGGGTCTGCCATCTACCAGTCGGAGCTTGGGGAACCGCCAAACTCGAAAAAATGTAGAAGTAAAACCAACAAATTATATATATATATATATATATATATATATATATATATATATATATATATATATATATATATATATATATATATATATATATATATATACATATATATATACACACATATGTATGTATGTATGTATATATATTATATATATTATATATGCATATATATTATATATATATATATATATATATATATATATATATATATATATATATATATATATATATATATATACATATATATATGTAATTTTCTGCTTCGTCATTTTGGAATCTGGTGTCATATGCGGTATAGTTCCAGCTTTACCAGAACAATACGATACAAGTAAACTACTTAATACTTTCATCTATGGTATTTTCTTCGCAAGCTGATAATAAGTTGTGGAACACCTTACACTCTGGAATCTATTTACAAGAAAATCTTTTGACACGACCATAAATCGAATGAAAAAAAAAACGACACCAGGTAATATATGAAATAATCTGTAATGGCAAAGAAATGAAAGTAGAGAGGGAGAGAAGTCCATGGCGATGGGGTTAGGTTAACGAGCCAAAAGAGTATGAGAAACACAGTTCGGAGGTCTGTGGGAGTATATCTGTAAAAGGAAGCTTATACAATTGGTTGAATTCAACGTCAGGCGAGCCGCCAAAACCAAGTGGGAGGGAGATAACGTGGACTGAATTAAATTCTCTCCCTCATCAAGTTAATTTCTTAACCGGAAGATGTTGCTGGCCCTGGCAGGAGCCACTAATAGGACTTGCTTAAACTTACACCAAGTAACCAAGTATATATATATATATATATATATATATATATATATATATATATATATATATATATATATATATATATATATATATATATATATATATACATATATATATATATATATATATATATATATATATATATATATATATATACATGTATATATATATATATATATATATATATATATATATATATATATATATATATATATATATATACATATATATATATACATATATATATATATACATATATATATATACACATGTATATGTATATATATATATATATATATATATATATATATATATATATATATATATATATATATATATATATATATATATATATATATATATATATATATATATATATATATATATATATATATATATATATATATATATACATACATATATATATACACACACATGTATGTACAAATAAATATGCATATATATATCATTAACATCATCATCATCAGCAGCAGCAACAGCCTGAATCAATCCACTGCATGACGTAGGCCTCTCTTAATCTTTACCAACTTTGTCTTTGTTTTTTTTGTTTTTTCCAGTCTTGGCCCCCAAATTTCGTCATTTCGTCACGCCATCTTGTCACTGGTCTGGCACTTGGACTGTTTATGTTATCTGTATCCCAGTCTGTTACTTTCTTTGTCCATCCGTCGTCCTGTCTCCGACATATATGACCTGCCCATTGCCATTTTTTTCTTTTTGATACTCCCAAGTATATTTTCCACTTTTGTCTGTTCCTTGATCCACGTCGCCCTCATCCGATCTCTTAGGCTAATTTCCAGCATCAACTTCTTCATCCCTCTCTGGGCACTTTGTTTCCTCTCTAGTAATTTGGTTGTAGTCCATGTTTCTGATCCATAGAAAGGACGCAATGGTAAAGACTTTTCTTTTTAAACATAATGGCAAGGAGCCTCTTATTATACACTACTGTGGCTGCAGAAGGCGCTCCAACCTAGACTGATGCGTTGCTTAATTTCCTCTCTTAGATGTGTTTGTCTGTACAGAGTTGCCCTAGGTATATATTCTTGTCCACCACATCGAGCGCTTCGCCTTGTACATGTATCTATTCGAATTGAACTCTACTGTTGAACAGCCTTTTTCTTGTTCAACCTAAGTCCGACTTTCAGTCTTTCTCTATTCAGACCGTTTATTATTTGCTACATATCATTTGCAGATTCACTGAAGAGAACGATATGATTTGCAAATCTTAGGTATTCCTGTTTAGGTATTCCTCTCCTATTTTGATACCCTTTCCGTTCCATTCTAGCTTCTTGAATATTTCCTCGAGGCAAGCTGTAAACAGTTTTGGTGAGATGGTATCGCCCTGTCTTTGATGGTTGCTGTCCCATTTCCGTAAATATCCAATACTTTACAATTTACCTCCTCTTCTCCCTATCTTCGGATAGCTTCCAGTACTGCTGGTTTTATACAGAGTCAAAAAGCCTTTCGTAATCGATGAATGCTATACACAGGGGTTCCCTTTATTCGTTTATATTTCTCTTATATGTATGTGGTCTGTTGCTGAGAATCAACCGCGGAAGTCTGCTTGTCTTTTAAGCTGGTTAGAATCCAGACTGTCAGAGATACGAGTTGTGATAATCTTTGTGAACAGTTTGTAAGTAACTGAAAGGAGGAATATGGGTTGGTATTTTTTTTAGATCTTTTCTATCCCCTTTATTATGTATTATAATAAATGTTTCATTTTTCCAGGCTTCATTGCTGCAATTTCTCCTGCATCTATTATAAGATCTATACTAATTAAGTCTTCACCCCCTGGTGTTTTACCTCTCTTCATGCCTTTAAGCGCTCTTTTTTATTTACCACTGGGATATCTGACTCGACATCGACATCTCAAATGATGCAGTGTCTGATGACTGTGACGTGATGTTCTCTCTGAGAAAAAAAAATCGTTGGGATCTGTGATGGGATCTCCTACTCATATCATTTCCCACCTAAGGCTGGCATTTCTGCAACTCATCAATATTTCCTAGTAAACCTCCACTCTACCCCAGAGCTGGAAGAAGGCTGACATAGTCCCCATCCCCAAACCAAAGAAGCCTGGGAAGTATCGCCCTATTATTCTCCTCGGCTGTCCCCATAAGATGGTAGAGGGAATGTTACTAAACCGGCTTCAGTGTATATCATGATCGCCACATGAATACCTTTACAGGTTTACAAGGGTTTTAAGCATAGCTCCCAGCATAACCAAGGGCCCCATATTCAGAGGGGAATCAGAAACAAGCTCTTAGCCAGGACTGCCAGAGTCTCAAGGTCACCTATCACAACACTTGCCACTAGGAAATGAAATGCTACAGGGTGGGGTACTTAGCCCAATTTGGACCATGTGTCTGAGGAATGTTGTAGGACAAGGTTGAACCAAGTTGAAGACCATGTCTCTAAGTCTGTGTCCAAGGAATAGATCTAGAGTAGGTTTAAGTTTTCCAGTACCCAGGCAAAGGGGTCTCTTTCCGAAAGGAGGCCCAGTACCTGCTAGACAGAACCAAGGGGAGACTGTCGGTCATGAAAGCAATGACCTGAGACTTATAGGAGCAGGGCAAAAAGTACTTAGACCATTATATGTACATACTGTCTATTCCATCATGGACTATAAATCTGTTGCCCGATCAGTGCCAGGCCAAGACTCACACACTTGAGACAATCCAAAATGAGGCTGCCAGGACCATTCTGACAAAGGTCCTCAACCTATCCATAGATGCGAACTTTCTTCCCCATGACTCCTGGAATGATCTAATGGCAGCACAGTTCTTTGGACTCCCCCCCACCCCAGTTATGTTGAACACCCATCGTGTGGACAGACCTTGATCGAGTTATCAATGAAGACTTTGTCCAGTAAAAAGTCAGTATCCCCTGCCTAGACTAAAGGAAGAAACAGAGAGGGCCATTGCAGTCATCGCTCCTGGTGGTAGAACATACATGGTTCAGTTGATCCCACAGCCCGTACTGTAACCGCTGGCCTTACAGCAAGGGGCAACACAACTTATATAAGAGTGGCAGTGGCGGTGGCTGTTGCGGTCATGGGAGCCCTAGCCCATGCATCCCAAAGGGAAGAATACATAGTCATACACATAGACTCAAGGGCAGCTACTGACAGCATAACATGTCCAATAAGATCTATATCCTGACCACGCTGCTTACCATGGCGGGGTCCCCAGGGTTGATGAGTTATAAATCCCATGTTCATTCAGCCAAGCCAAAAACTTTTAAGATAATAGAACCATAGCCAAAGGGAAGGTCTCTACTGCCTGGAATACACAGAGAGAAAGAACTACTGCCTCGGCCAAATGGTACTCAGATGCCGCAACTGAACAGAGCTACTCAAATTGAAGGGAAGGCCAGCAAGTGGTAGAGAGCACAATCAATCACCAGAAGGAAGACAAAACTTGATGCACTTAAGGTTATCTCAACGACATCAACAGTCCATGCCAGGTGTTACTGTTATAACCAACTTTTCTGTTTAAGATTCAACATGCGAAAGGCAATTTGACTGCTTTTCAGCGCCCTTTCCCTCCCTGCCTCATTTCCTTTTACACTAGTCTATCCTCGCTCTTGTTCCTTGCCTTCCTGACGGTGATTCATTAATCTGGGAAAAAACTGGTACAGTGTTGGTCTCAAAATCCTTTTAGTGCCCAAGTTGGGGGGGGGGCACTACCCAAAGGATAAGCCTACAAACCCTCCTTGGATAAAGTACTCCGCCGACAAATTCCACTGACGGAGGAGGAGGCCAGAAACTGGGGTCCCATTGGTAGCTGTTCTGCCACTTGAGGATAGTTACAAGGATACGCACTATTTATTAAATCCTTGAGTCGCACTAGTGATCCATCCTTCATCCTGGACGCATCTCAAAAGTGCAGGGGGGTGAAGGAGTGTTGTAAGCCATTTTGTTTGTAATAACATCGACTCAATATAATAATTATACTGAAGTTTGCATTGTAGCATTTGGATGCTCTGCCAACAAGGTATCAAGATCGTAAAGCTTATTACCACCTTTAGTAGATAGCAATCACAGACAGATCTCCTCACTAACCATGAATTCGAAGAGGATGCAAGAAATGCTCTTTCGGCCGCCGGCTTTACTAAAGTGGTTTCCAGACAAGAGGCCAAAATGACACTGATCCTAAAGGGAACAGACCACAAGATATCCCAAGAATCAACAATGGCCAATAAGACAAAAAAAAAAAAAAATGCTCCATACAGAGAAGTAGACAATATTTTCAATCGAGTTCAGAACCATGGCAATGACAGACAAAGCAAAGGAACAAGAGCTTTGTGTACTTTGATTCTCAATATCCCCGACGAATATCGAATGTGTGCGGTTTAGCAAAGTCCCCCAGTGCATATTATGTCTCTCATAGGAACATGTACTGAGTGCATACTCAAATAAGGACTACAAAATCTGTAGCAAATGTGCAAAAGAGTTTAGAGAATGCCCCCAACAATCCTAAGGTGTGTATGTGAGTGAGTGAGTGGGAGTGTCTCTCTCTCTCTCTCTCTCTCTCTCTCTCTCTCTCTCTCTCTCTCTCTCTCTCTCTCTCTCTCTCTCTATATATATATATATATATATATATATATATATATATATACACATATATACATATATACATATACATATATATATATATATATATATATATATATATATATATATATAT